CTTATTTTCATTTTTATTTTTCATACTTCAGTACTTAAGAGAATTCATTTTTAAATTTCAAATGACTAATGTAATATATGCATTGTCGTTTATTTATCATTCATTAAATAATCATGTCCAAGTCAATGATCAACTATAGCAAAAAAATCCCAATTGGTGATAGTGTTAAAGCAGAAAAAAGGTTTAAAGCTGTATTACTCGTTACCGGTGCATTGCATTTAGCAAATACTGAAAATGTCTTACAAGCGGTAGGTTGGACACTACTTGAGATTTTATTTCGACAACATAAATTAATCTTATTTTAATACCATCAATGCCACGACTATTACGTAAGAGTTTATCAACGTAATTTTTTTGTATTCTATCAAACATTTTATCAATATTTGGTATATTTCTATCATATGCATATTTTATCAATCCACGGGGGTCAGCTGCTTTTTCCAAAACATCGTCATCAATTAATACCCATTCTACAGCACCCGTGTTCGATACCAAACGATTACTCGTTGGTACACGGATGAACAGAGCTTTAACTTCGTCACTGGCTGCTTCATCATACGGTAAACATTTAAATTTATTTGTTACGCCTCTATCGGCATCAGCATCTAATATTAATCTAACAATTTCGATATTTCCATAATAGCATGCCATATGTAACGCTGTACTACCATTTGGTTCCATTTTATCAATTTCCTCTGGTATCATTGTTCTAAGAAATTCTTTAACATCATCAATTTTATTTTCCCGACATGCTTGGTAGAATGGACTGCATTCTTCCCATGAACAAAAATTCGTATTTTCTGGCTCTTCTCTCATTGCCCTTTCACCAGATGCAGAACGGTGCTTAAATGCATGTGGATCTGGATAAAGTAATCTTGCAGAAAGTGATTCATCATTCCTTGTCGCCGCTTCCGCACAAGGTATACAAATTGATCTTGTTTCTAATGATGGATCAACAGTTTCTCCAAAACATGATTGATTATCCCTCTTCTTCGATTGAATAAAACGTTCAGCTGATCGACTAGCTATGGATTGCGAGGTATTACGAGTTCTTTCTTTCCACGTGTTAGTGAGGTCAAGTCAGGTCAAGTCAAGTCATGAGTCATAAAAAATTTCTCACGTCAAGTCAAGTCAAGTCATTTTTGACTTGACTTGCCCGGCTCTGGTTTTGATTCTTTTTGATTAATTGATTTGATATATAGCAGATCAAAGAACACACTTTTATGAGTATATATAGTTCTTCTTCTTTTCCTATAGAAAATTGCAGGAATGTTAATGCTTTAAATTTCAGCTAACGAAAATTCGAGTAAAAAATCTCTATGAATATATATACTAAAATTTGCTTAGTGGTTTCTTTTTAGCTTATTATAGTTCATATCAGCTAGAATTAGATAATCGATGATAAAAGAAATGATCTGGTCATAGTAGAAGTGAAAAATAGAGGAGAAATCGACTTGAAATCATAAAAAGACGATCGATATTTTACGAATTTTGAGGCTCAAAATAACGCTGAAGACGATGTTTGTCGAACAGTCGACTACAACCATTTTTGTAGAGCTAGATGAACTCTATCTATTTTGACATAAAACAGAAAAAATTTTCGGAAAGTTTTTGAGAAATATAAGCCCAAACTTTTCGCTTTTTTTCAGTAAATTGTTCACTGTTCAAAAACACCAGTAGCTATCGGGCTAATTCTTTCGCTATTTTACTCAGATTTCATGCCTTTATACTTCCATCTACGGTAGTCAAGGGTTCTATTTGAGCTTGAGAGGAAAATCCTAAAAGTGTCCCTAAAACTTTGGACCTCTGAAAAACCATGTTCCACATGTTTTTTTGAAAAACGAGCCTAATGTTCTACAGCTAACTTTTTATGCTCTATACGATGCACATATTGAAATCTTCGCGGCTGTGAGGCCATGTAATGGTGAGCGGACCTGAATGGAAGTACCCCATGCCATATCCTAATACTGTACATTCATCCTCTAAAGAAAAAGATCGTATCCATACCGTGTATATTTCTTTCTAGTTCTTCATCAATTAAACTACTTCGTTTAAAATCATGTTTTTTCATAATCTCAAGTGGAAATAATTTTCTAATAATTCTACTTGTTGTTGTTATTGTTGTACTTTGACAAACATGTAAACTAGATGGTGATAATGGTATTGTTGGATGTTGTTTCTTAATACAATAAAAAAAGTTTCATGAGTAAAGAGCAACAGAAGATAAACTTGTGTCAAAAGTGCATGTACGACATACATTTTGATCAGTTTCACTTCTTCCAATTACATATTTAAAATATTCAATAGTACTTTTTTTAGGCATACCTGAAATAAAAAGAAACAAATTAAATTATTAAAAAATTAAAACTAAGATCTACATGAACACTTTAATTTTATTCTTAAAATCACGTATACTTACGAACATGTGTTTTTTTCGTACTGGTTATTGTTTGACTAAGAGATTTGACTTTGTTTTTTAAAGCATCATTTTCAATCATTAATTTAACAACATCAAATTTATCTGTTTGTACAGCACGAGATATCGGTTTACTATATATATCAACATCATAACTTTCATTCAATGATATATCATCTTGTTCTTGTCCATGTTCTTGTATATCAATATCATCATTATTGTCATCCATTCCAATATCATTAAAAATATTAGGAATAAAATATGATTCATTTAATTTAGGTGCTGTTGATGAAGTTGTTACCGTTATATTATTATTATTTTTAGTAGAATTATTTGAAGAATTTTTGTTGGGTTTTGAAATAATTATTTGTGAATTTGTGTTGATGGTTGAGCTTTTGTTGTATTATAAATAACATGTGATTTTGATCAAATGGTCTATGACGTTTTGGATGTACAATTTTAACTGTTCTTGATTGTTGATTTTCATTTGATTTTAATGGTGATACTTCATGTATAAATTCTTGTTGTTGCTTTGTTATTTCACCATATTTAACATCACATTCTTCTGGTCTTCCTGCAAAATTAGAAAATTCTAGAAAAGTTACGGAAGGACTTGCACAACATTCTAAAAATGACCATAGTTTGGCGGAAATACAGGAATAAAAAGAGTTCCACGCCTGCAACATTTTAACAAAGCAATCATAGTGTCTATGGTTTCTAGATGGGTAATCAGCGTGTCAAGTTTAACAAACTAAAGTATTCGTCAATAAAACAAAAAGATTCGTATGAACATCCTTACAACCATTTTTTTGTTTGTGCATTATTCAACCTTATTTTTTCTTTTTATTTCTATTATTTTACTATTATTATTATTAATTTTTTTGCTTTCTTCCTTTCTCTCTGCTTCTATTTCTTTTTGATGGGTGCTATAATGATTCGCTTGCTACCATGTAAAATAAATGCTATTTAAAAGTATTTCAACACTTATTAGCAGAACAGCTCGAAACATTCCGTAGCTAGCCCGAACATTCAGAAAAAACTGCTAATGGTGTTGTACCCGAATTTTCAAAATTTAATTAAAGCCACGTACCTGTGTACATACAACCGTTCCAAAACCAATATTTTTAAACAGATATTTTTCATATATTTTTGATTTATTGAGTGCTGTTGGATTCGTATGTAAATCCACTATCTAAACGAACCACTACGCTTGACATCTGAAACATGAAATGATCCAAATCCGTCAATGTAAAATATAGCGTTGAGAGTTAATCATGAAAAAGAATTTTCTCACGATTCAAATATGTCATAACGATCTACAAAAATATTTTCGGTAATAGAACATCACGTTAGAGGAAAAGTCCAATAAACGCACGCTAATACAAAATGTCCGTTTTCATGCAAGTGTCTCCGAAAAATAATCCTGCTTTACTCGCTTTCAACAATCGATGTTGGTGTATCAACATATGATGTTGATTTATAAATAATAAATATTGACAGACCAATACCTACTACTGATACATGTAATGTTAATATATTTATGATAGATATTGGTGTACCAACATCAGATGTTAGTATATTGGTAATGGATGTTGATATATCAACAATAGATTTTGATGCGTTAGTAATAGACGGTGACATATCAAGGAGTGAGACAATGTTATCATTCGCTAAAAACTTTGCATGGCTTGATAACAGTTGCGTGGGCCTGTTGAAGGGACTTTTTACTTATACTATTGTCTATAATGGAGGATCATGTGTTATAACAAGTAATGAACATTGAATAAAAGAGCTTATTAATATCTCATTTCTTTATTTCTTCTACACTATTATAAGAAAAAAGTCTTGAAAAGTAGAATCTTGATAGAAAAAAATTGATCGAAAGTAGAAAAAAAAACTAATCCTCAACAACAACTTAGATGGCATTATTAATATAAATAATAAACGCAACAAAATATTTGATTTGCAAAATAGATGAAATCATCAGTAAAAAAGTATATAAATGATCAGTTAAAAGGTTGAATGATCAGTTAAGTTGTTCAATGATTAGTACTAAGATTACCAGTAAATAATGAGAACACGATCAGTTTAATATAGAGAATAACAGTAAAAAATTATCATTTTTACCAGTAAAAAAAAGAATTTGATAAGTAAAAAATGAAAATTTGGTAAGTAAATAAGACAGATTCTACCAGTAGAAAAGATGAAATATATTTGTAAAGGATCAAGAGAAATATCTTCGACAAGAGCTATTATTTTAGCTGGTTTAAGATAAAATGTAAGCCAATCAGCATGTAATTATATAGTTTTTCTACGGTCCGAAGATAACATGCAGAGTGCCAAGACATTGTATTACAGCTCCTATCGGAGATTTGTATAGACTACTTGAAGTCAAACTACTCTCTTGTATCTGTCTTATTTACTTACCAAATTTTCATTTTTTACTTATCAAATTCTTTTTTTTACTGGTAAAAATGATAATTTTTTACTGTTATTCTCTATATTAAACTGATCGTGTTCTCATT